CCACTTCCCCATGAATATATAAGGAAAAGTAATAAGAACAAGAACTATTAAGATAAAATCAAAGAAAACTCAGATGTGTGTGTATAAATAAACATGTACATGTATGTGTAGTGTGACCTAAGTGTAAGTAGAAGTAGCAAGACGTACAGTGGACCCCCGGTTAACGATATTTTTTCATTCCAGAAGTATGTTCAGGTGCCAGTACTGACCGAATTTGTTCCCATAAGGAATATTGTGAAGTAGATTAGTCCATTTCAGACCCCCAAACATACACATACAAACGCACTTACATAAATACACTTACATAATTGGTCGCATTTGGAGGTGATCGTTAAGCGGGGGTCCACTGTACTTGTAATCTTGCATAATTATGAGACAGGCAAAAGACACCAACAATCCTACCATCATGTAAAACAATTACAGGCTTTCGCTTTACAATCACTTGGCAGGACGGTAGTACCTCTCTGGGCGGTTGAGTAAATAGTTACTGGAATTTAACGAACACTAAAGCAAAGTTATGAAGCTTGGAGTTAAAGAAAGATCGAAGAGTACCATCTAGAAAAGAAAATGAACAAAACAGTTAAAGACATAACAATAATCACTGTCCAAAACTGGTCTCCTGAAGTGCAAATGAACAGAATTCCATTAGCAGCACAGGCTAAGCTCACAATCCTGAGAGTTGCACTCAGAAACATACACCATCTCATCCAATCTCCTTACACTTGTTGCCCCCATTCCTCTAGCAGTAAATCAGTCCATCCTTCACCTTAAGCAGTGAACATGGAAATATGAGTGGTCTAAAGCACTAACACATGGTGGTGTCATGTTAAGTTGCTTATTTATGTCATTCTGCTAGTCATCTAATTACACACAAATTTAGGTTAATTTAATCTAGCCTAACCCAGAATAACAAACATTAAATGTTTTCTAGAGGTCTACACTGGGCAGAAAAAAATGTTATGTACATACAGCCATTTGTCCTAATTGGAGAAGTGTTTGAGTAAATAGGTGCCTGCATGTTAGCCAGCTGTTGTGGCTAGCATCTAGTATACCTTAGAGCAAAGCTTTGAAATGAGATGTAGATCAGCACCTAGCATATGAATTTTAGTTAAAAATAAAAATCATACATATGTGCCATTCTTGAGTTTGTAGCACTTACAGCATAGGCAAGACAGACATGTGCAACAATTAGATATTTTTTATTCCAAACAAAGATACCTAACTGTTGCATGTGTCCTACTCATCTACATGTCAAAACTGAATACCATTAATATATACAGTATTCACAGTTTTGTATGGGCTCACTTACCTAGTGAAACCAAAAATGAAACTTGAGAATACCTAAAGAAGTAAATTTAGACTTGTGCCTGAACCATGGGCAATAAGTTTTGGAGAAATTATGGGGACATTGGATCTTCTACTATTAAACAGAGACAAACTAGAGGAAACACAAAGAATAAAAACAACGAAAATTTTATCTGGTGGTTTAACAAAATCAAGGGAAGCATGGATGAAAATTACACACAGGGATATCAAAAAAAAAAATATTTCTTCAACATATTCAAATATGGAATGACCTGAAATATGACGAGTGTAAGCAGACTCCATAGAAAGATTCAAGAAATAATAGCGAAGTTGAGAACAATGGAAAATATTATGAAGAAAAGGATTATTAGATATGAATGGCACTTCCTCAGTGTGTTGAAGTTACACAAGTAGTTTTTGGTGGGGGAGGGGGAAAGAGAGGATGACTTGCAAGAGAATACAGTGGTACCTCGAATTTCAAACAGCTCCTAACTCGAACAATTATGTAAGTGTATTTTTGCAAGTGCTTTTGTAAGTGTATTTTTGGGGGCCTGAAACAGATAAATCTAATTTACATTATTCCTTATAGGAACAAATTATTTCAGTAACGGCACTCGAACAGCCTTCCGGAACGAATTATGGCCGAAATTCGAGGTACCACTGTACGTACTAAAGATGTGGGCAGAGCAGGAGGGGAAGAGATGATAAATGAACTAAGAATTTTTTTTTAACTGTACAACTTACTATAAATAATAAGCATGTAACTTCAAGATTTTTTAATAATATTCTTCATAATAATCATTTAAAAAAAACTACAAATACTGTAATTTTATAGCAATGAATATGTACTTCATATCAGTATGAATTTTCCAGCAGAGTAGAATGACGCCAGCACAGTTGAATATGAATACTGTACCTCAACATTTTTCAACAGAGTTCATTGTTATATGATAAAATTTATACTGCCTTGCCTCATCTTCAAGCCTTACAACTGCTAGCTGTGATTTATTATGCCAAGGTAAAACCTACAATGGCCAACTGACACCAATATACCTATTTACTACTAGGTGAACAAAGGCACTCGATGCAATAAGAAATACCTATAGAACTGCAATTTTATGACAAGAACTGGCTGAAGAACTATTCAGGCAATTTTTATCACCCATTGGAGAATCCTGAGTTATGTCAAATAGGAAATAAATCTAAAACAAAGAAGAAGACTGTGGTAACTGAAAAATGTAAAAATATACATTTGTAGAAAAATATACTGTATAATTACTGCTGGATAACCTAAAGTACGAAAAGTTTTGAAAGTCTAATGTCATTGTGTATAACAAAGCAACAAATAGAGAAAAGCTGAAATATGTCATTTCTCCCAAAGAGAAAAGCATCAATTTGAAAAAATTCTACTAGTTTCCATAGTTATACAAGCCCATGAGCATACCCTAATACATTATTGTGTAAGGCAAAGAAATTAAGCAAGACTATAAAAAAAAAAAAATTCCAACATTTACATATTTGAAAATTGTGTGTAAATGAGGAAAAAAGAGGGGAGAAAATAATGATTTTGGCTTGCTTAATATACACACAGGTTGTCCCTAATACTGACTTCGAAGAATACATGGTATCATCTAGTCACCTATTAACTCATATATATTGTATAAAAAAATTTTTGATATTTATTTAGTAATCTCTACACAAAGGGTTACTAGCTCATTGATTCCGGCATTTTACTTGACTTTTAAAACACGCATGGCTTACGGGGAAATATTTTGAATTACTATTTGCAAGCTTGTGGAAACAGTGATAGTGTAAATAATGTTTAAAGAGTTCCTTTCTCAGGTCACCCTACCTCAGTGGGAGATGGCCAGCGTGTTAAAATATATAGATATATTCTTCTTTCTCAATATGTCGCCTGTCTTCCACTGAGGCAGGGTAACCCCAAAAAGAAACACTTTCGCCATCATTCATACATAATCACTGTCTTTACAGAGGTGCCCAGATATGATAGTTCAGATATCACTCTAAACAGCCAATATCCCAAACCCCTCCCTTGAAGTGTGGGTATTGTACTTCCCACTTCCAGGACTCAAGTCCGACTAACCGGTTTCCCTGAATCCCTTCACAAAATATTATCCTGCTCACAGTCCAACAGCCATTTCCCACCAAGCTAGGGTGAATCAAATAAGTAACACTTCCATTATCACTCACTCCATTACTGTCTTGCCAGAGGCATGCCAATGTAGGACTACAATTCAAAAACTACCAATCTGCCAACAAGTCCACTCCCAAATATTTGAACACATTCACTTCCTCCATACTCCCTCTTTCCAATATATCCAATCTTTCATTACCTAAATTGTTTACCTTTATCATCTTGCATTTTCCTATGTGCACTTTTAATTTCCTTCTATTACATACTCTCCTAAATTTGTCCACCAACCTTTGCAATTTCTATTTATAATTTCCAAAAAGCAGTGTCATTGGCAAAAGGCAACTGTCACAAATCCCATTTTCTATTAGATTCTGCATATTTTAATCCCATCCCTTTCCCAAATACCCTAGCATTCTTTTTTTTTTTTTAGATTATTATTATAATCAAAAAGAAGCGCTAAGCCACAAGGGCTATACAGCCATTTTTTTTTTTAGAACCCCATCTATAAATATGTTAAACAACCATGAAGACAACATGCATCCCCAAGGCCTAATTTAACTGGAAAATAATCTCCCTCTCTCCTACATACCCTAACCTGAGCCACATTATCCTTGTAAAAACTCTGAACTGCTTTCAGTAACTTACCATCTATTCCACACACTTGCAATATTGCTTCCCTATCCACCTTATCACATACCTTTACCAAACCCATGAATGCAACAACTTCCTTACCTTTATCCAAATACTGTTCACTTATATGCTTCCATGTAAGCACATGGTCTACACATCCCCTACCTTTCCTAAAGCCTCCTTGTTCTTCTGCAATCCTGCTCTATCTTGCCCTTAATTCTTTCAATAATAACTACCATGCTGCTTAGCTGGTATACTCAACAGGGTTATTCTGCCAATTATTTGGTACCTTTCCTTCTTTCATACATTTATTGAAGAACAACAATAACCACTCCAAAACTATATTCCCAACTGCTTTTAACATTTCTGTCTTCATTCCATCAATGTAACCCTCCTGGCCAATGAATGAAATGACTGCCTCTCTATCTTCAACATCTCCTCAGCATTCCCACCATCTTCTCAGTGCTTCCAACTCTCCTCCTCTGTTTTTAAACTGTGTAAACCATTCATTCCCTAGGGTTTCTCAACTTGCTACTCTCACTCTAGAACCTCTTATTCTCAGCAAAAATTTCTTGGCAGAACCTCACCCACTCCTTCATTTGCTCTGCTTTTACACTCCCTCACCATATATTCCAACCTTCTTATATCACTAGTACTTCTTTTTAATAACCCCTCATATGCTAACTATTTCTCCCTTACTACTCTCTCTACCTCATCATTCCACCAATCGCTCCTCTTCCCTCCCACATTCACCCTCCTATATCCACGAACTTGTGCCGCACACTTTAACACTACATTCTTAAATCTACCCCCTATACCTCTTCAACCTCAATACTTATACTCTCACTAGCCCATGTTTCTCCCAATATATATATATATATATAGATATATATATGCATATATAAAATACCTCCAGGCTTGCCAGGTGCCCCAGTAGGATCAATAGCAGTAATATTTTGGTTCTTGAGTGCTGCTGAACGAGAGGCTGAGGTGGTGGGCACCCCTCCCTGTGCCAGTCTAGCAGTGTTCTCCTTGATTGTTGCAGAATCAACTGTGTTCTGCCGTCGAAAGTTGTTGGTGCCCGCATGGTTGTGTGCATTTGTAGAGACTGGAGTTGTGCCTCCGCCACCTGTTAGGTGGAGTTGAGTGTCAAGAGTGGTGTGTGTTATGGGGGTCATGTTGCAGCTGTAGCAAGTTCAGCTGCTGTTGATAATCATTACTTTTTCATAGAGGTGCCTGTTCAATCTTAAATCTTAATATAACATGAATAAATCAGTTTTGCAGCCACTGATGACTTGATTATTATTACTGTTTTTCCTTCCTCTCATAAAATACTCATTTAATATTTCTAGTAAATATCACTTGACAATTTAAAATGTTACAAACACCTTGCTTACTCTCATACTCTAGCGAGTCACACAATAGAATTTAAAACAGCGGACATCTTGGGCTCTGGTTACAGCATGTAAGACAGGCAAGCAACAATCTTTCTCTGCTGGATATTCCATCACCAAGCATTAACAAACCATATTAAGTGTATATATGGTATGCTTATCTAGCAACAAGTGCACTTGTTATTTCTACTATTAAGCATTTGTCACAATTGTCATTCAAAACCTTTGTAGTTAGTGTTGATATTAAACATTTAACACACAAAATCAGGATGTATATACAGTACTGTTCATGGCATTAAAATGTCTACAACATAATTTGAAGGAGAGAGAGAGAGAGAGAGAGAGAGAGAGAGGAGAGAGAGAGAGAGAGAGAAAAAAAAAAAATTATTCATCATAGCATTATGTGTTTAATTTGGGAATGCTAGGTAAAGATAAAAAGTACATATATGCTGAGGGACCACAGAATAACACAAGTGTTCCATTCCAAGTTAATAACTCAAATCAATAATTTATTAAGCCAAATAAGCATTTCAGTATCATTTAAAACGAATGAATGGAAATGTATGCCAAACCTGTCAAATTAGCATGACACTCAAGAGATCAGTTGCCAAAGAATATTTTTGAAGAATTCAATACAAGATTTTGTTAATCAACAAAACATTAGTATTTTGAAAATAAAATAGTTAACTAGCAGTAGCCTGTTAATTTAAGGACTGACTCGCCATGGCTTAGAATCCCACCCATTCTGCTAGTTAAACTGTGTGTTTTCTTCTCTGGGTCACCCTCTGCCTTGGCAGATGGCGGCTTTTGAGTTTAAAAAAAAAAAAAAAAATTAGGTTCTAAAGTTTTAAAAAGACACGTTACCCTGGCTGAATTGCAAACCATTAGCATGTGAACAAAGCATTATAAGTTCAAATTTTTAACTTTAAACTTTAGGAAGCAAAGTTAACTGCATCAAAAGCTAACATCTGTGAATTAATTTCATATGATGGAGCAGCCACATTGACAAGCATGAAGTCATTATTAGCCTAAAGCTTAAAATTCAAGAATTTTCTGGCATTTTCTGTCTAATGAATAACCAAGCAAATAATTCCAACCTATTTCTAAGAAATAAAATATGGAATAATCAGTCCAGCTCAAGTTGCCAAACCTATCAAAGTCATCTTTTACAGAGCTAACATGTCTTTCATAAAATACAGTAGGTGCCTAAATATGCATGCACAAATAGATCACACAGAAAATGAGACTGCTCACAATAACCTATTGTTAGAAAAATATAATAATTATGTATGTGTTTCAGAGGATTACCATTCCTCTAGATGTACTCCTTAACCTTTCAACCATGCCCAAAGTAATATTACACAAGTGATGTCAGTGTGTCCAACGTACTAGTATGCAAAATGACAGTATCTTTGACCTCGACAACACTGTGTCCTCTACAATCCCTTCATACTTCTGAAAAAATCTGAGGCCAGGAGGATGCACACTGCACATAGTAAATCATACTTAACTACATAGATGATTGTGTGTCCAATATAATAGAATGCTTAGCCAATCTAAGTAAATAATAAAATAGTGAGCTGTTCCACCAGCAGCTTCCCTACCAGCAAACTGTGTAAAGTGGCATGAAGATAACTTATTCATTTCAAATTTATTATAATTTCATGATACTAGCAGTGGAATCCAGCAACAAATTACACTGCAGATTTACTGACAAGATAACCCAATAAAGTCAAACAATGTGACATATTTTCATGCTTTGATGAGTATTACACCTTGAAACAACTGTCATAAGAATTCCTTGTACATAGTGTTAGAAGACCAAAGTAGGAAAAAACATAGAATATACAATTAAAAAAAAAAAAAAAAAAGGTATACAGTGGACCCACAGTATTTGATAAATCTGGTATTTGATACATTTTAACGCAAAAATTACGCCTTGGTATTCGATCAAAAACCCAGTATTCGATACGATTCGTACGAGACGTGTCCACGTGTGGCCTGAACTGCCCCGTGTGTGCCAGAGTTTACAAGCCAGCCAGTGTGCGAGCATCTAGGGATACATTCAGTACATTCCATATTATCGTTGTTTTTGGTGCTTGTTTCTGCAAAATAAGTAGGGGGTGTGTGGACCAGGTGTTTACAGTGAAGAAAGACTGAAGACTCTTAAGTTACATTCACTTGTTAGACAAAGAATGAGGGGAGACCTGATCGAAGTGTATAAGTGGAAGATAGGTATTAATAAAGGGGATATTAATAAGGTCTTGAGGATGTCTCTCCAAGAGAGAACCCGCAGTAATGGATTTAAATTAGATAAGTTTAGATTTAGAAAGGACATAGGAAAGTATTGGTTTGGAAATAGGGTAGTTGATGAGTGGAACAGTCTACCTAGTTGGGTTATTGAGCCCGGGACTTTGGGTAGTTTCAAATTTAGGTTGGATAAGTACATGAGTGGGAGGGGTTGGATTTGAGTGGGACTTTCACATCAGAGTTTATTTCTTGGGTGGCATTGAAAATTGGGTTGGGCAAATGTTTTGTTAGTGGGATGAATTGTAAAGGACCTGCCTAGTATGGGCCAACAGGCCTCCTGTAGTGTTCCTCCTTTCTTATGTTCTTTTGTTCTTATAAGTGAACAGTATTTAAATAAGGCTAAAGAGGTCTTTGTGGCATTTATGGATTTGGAAAAGGCGTATCACAGGGGAGATAGGGGGGCAACGTGGCAGATGTTGCAGGTGTATGGTGTAGGAGGTAGGTTACTGAAAGCAGCGAAGAGTTTTTACGAGGATAGTGAGGCTCAAGTTAGAGTAAGTAGGAAAGAGGGAAATTATTTCCCTGTAAAAGTAGGCCTTAGACAAGGATGTGTGATGTCACCATGGTTGTTTAATATATTTATAGATGGGGTTGTAAGACAAGTAAATGCGAGGGTCTTGGCAAAAGGCGTGGAGTTAAAAGATAAAGAATCACACATAAAGTGGGAGTTGTCACAGTTGCTCTTTGCTGATGACACTGTGCTCTTGGGAGATTCTGGAGAGAAGTTGCAGAGATTGGTGGATGAATTTGGTAGGGTGTGCAAAAGAAGAAAATTAAAAGTGAATACAGGAAAGAGTAAGGTTATGAGGATAACAAAAGATTAGGTGATGAAAGATTGGATATCAGATTGGAGGGAGAGAGTATGGAGGAGGTGAATGTATTCAGATATTTGGGAGTGGACGTGTCAGCGGATGGGTCTATGAAAGATGAGGCGAATCATAGAATTTATGAGGGGAAAAGGGTGAGTGGTGCACTTAGGAGTCTGTGGAGACAAAGAACTTTGTCCTTAGAGGCAAAGAGGGGAATGTATGAGAGTATAGTTTTACCAACGCTCTTATATGGGTGTGAAGCATGGGTGATGACTGTTGCAGCAAGGAGAAGGCTGGAGGCAGTGGAGATGTTATGTCTGAGGGCAATGTGTGGTGTGAATATAATGCAGAGAATTCGTAGTTTGGAAGTTAGGAGGAGGTGCAGGATTACCAAAACTGTTGTCCAGAGGGCTGAGGAAGGGTTGTTGAGGTGGTTCGGACATGTAGAGAGAATGGAGCGAAACAGAGTGACTTCAAGAGTGTATCAGTCTGTAGTGGAAGGAAGGCGGGGTAGGGGTCGGCCTAGGAAAGGTTGGAGGGAGGGGGTAAAGGAGGTTTTGTGTGCGAGGGGCTTGGACTTCCAGCAGGCATGCGTGAGCGTGTTTGATAGGAGTGAATGGAGACAAATGGTTTTTAATACTTGACGTGCTGTTGGAGTGTGAGCAAAGTAGCATTTATGAAGGGGTTCAGGGAAACCGGCAGGCCAGACTTGAGTCCTGGAGATGGGAAGTACAGTGCCTGCACTCTGAAGGAGGGGTGTTAATGTTGCAGTTTAAAAACTGTAGTGTAAAGCACCCTTCTGGCAAAACAGTGATGGAGTGAATGATGGTGAAAGTTTTTCTTTTTCGGGCCACCCTGCCTTGGTGGGAATCGGCCAGTGAGATAAAAAAAAAAAAAAAAAAAAATAAGTCACCATGGGCCCCAAGAAAGCTTTTAGTGCCAACCCTGTGGTAAAAAGGGCGAGAATTAGTATGGAAATTAAGAAAGATTTTGAAGGGTTTGGGGCTAACCCTGAGAAGCCTATGCCAGTTGTGGAATCCATTGTGCCTACTTCAAAAATTAAGGAAATGTGTGCACAGTGGGTTGAACTGCATACCTTTATGGATGAAAATTATCCTAACTCAGCTATTGCAAGCCATGCTGGTGACTATTACAATGACAATGTTGTGGCCCATTTTAGACAAATCGTAAAGGAACGGGAGGTACAGAGCTCTATGGACAGATTTGTTGTGCGACAGAGGTCCAGTGACTCTCAAGCTGGTCCTAGTGCCATTAAAAGAAGGGAAGTAACCCCGAAAAAGGACTTGCTACCTCAAGTCCTAATGGAAGGGGATTTCCCTTCTAAACACTAATACCATCCACACTCTCCCCTCCTCCCATCCCATCAATCATCACCAGATCTTCATTAAAGGTAAGTGTCAATTATTCTATTGTTATTGTTGTTATTGTAATTATTTTATTGCATTAAACTTAAAATTTCATGTGGTAAAATATTTTTTTTCATACTTTTGGGTGTCTTGCACGGATTAATTTGATTTCCATTATTTCTTATGGGGAAAATTGATTCGCTTTTCAATATTTTCGGTATTCGATGAGCTCTCAGGAATGGATTAATA